TTCCCTCACCCCCTGCCCTCCACCACCACTGCTTCTCCCCATTTTAAGGGAAATGAGTAAGTCTTGCTCTATACTATTAAAGAATGGTTGTGGGAGCCAATCCTTAAGAGGTTTCAAGCAGCATAAGGAGTGGGCAACATTTTTGAGCAGAGTACCAAAAACATCCCAGCCTCAACTTGTAAGATGTTGGTGTGCCAGAGGAGCAGCAAAGGGCCTGATCCTTGTTGTGGCGGTGCATCTCAGGCCCCTTCCCCTCCATCTGCCCAGAAGCATGCATGCAACAGCCTCCATCAGTGAGCCAGTCTGGAGCTCCACAGACCTCAGTGCAGCAGCTTGCCACCTCCCTGCTGCCTACTGTGAGCAGCCAGGCTTCATACTCTGTCTGTCTCATTTAATGTGTGGAGCTAGATCAAAAGTTGATAAGCAGAAGGCAAATCAAGTACCAGGCAACAAGAAAAGAAACTTTAAAACCTTCCTTCTGGGAAGCTGGAATGTCAGGACCTTGTATCCTGGCGTGAATAACAATTTACAGATGATGGACAATGTCCAGAAGACCATACTGATTGATTGAGAGCTGCAAAAACTTAACATCAGCATTTCATCCTTGCAGGAGACAAGATTGGCCAATTTAGGCTCCATTCATGAGGCCTACTACACCTTCTTCTGGGAAGGCAGGAGCGCAAAAGATACTTGGATACATGGGGTTGAATTTGAAATCTGCAACAGGTTGGTCAAAACCATCGAGACCCCCCCCACTAGAACTTCAGATCACATCATCTCACTCTGACTACAGTCAGCTGATGGTTTTGTTAACATCATTAGTGCCTGTGCACCAACTTTACAGGCAAGTTCAGATGATAAAGATAATTTCTGTGATGCTTTGCACCAAGTCATTGAATGCTTACCATCAAACGAGAGGCTTCTTCTCCTAGGGGACAAGGGATGCAGATCACAACTCTTGTCCAACCTGCCTGGGACATCATGGCATCAGGAAAATGAATGAAAATGACCAAAGTTTTCTTGAATGCTGCACCTTAAACTACCTGTATATCACTAACACCTACTTTGTGGGCAGAGCCTCAAAAAGTATCATAAAGACACCTGTGATCTGGCCACTGGCATCAATTAGACTTCATGATCACCAGGAGGAAAAACCTTCCCAGTGTGCTACACACCCACACGTCTCACGGTACAGTTTGTGACACAGACCACTCCGTTATTGTCAGCAAAGTGAAATTAATACCAAAAAAACTGCATAAACTCAAACACAAGAGTCAGCCAAGAATTAATATACACACCACAAAAGTTCAAAGCAAGTGCCTCAACTTTCAAAGGACCTTTGAGCTAGCTATGTCTATGAAAGCAACACCTGCAAATACTGCCGGAACTTGGAGTGAGCTAAAAGCAGCCATCCAGGAAACAGCCACAGAAGTATTTAGGAAAAATAAATAAAGAGTGGTTCGAGGCACACTCAGAAGAGATACTACCACTTGTTGAGGCCAAGAATGCAGCCTATCTGAAACACAATCAGAATCCAACAGAAAATTCCAAGGCTAAGCTGAAGCATGCCAGGGCAATGGTTCAGAAAACAGCCAGACACTGTGCAAACCAGTACTGGACTGACCTATGTCAAGAGATGCAGTTTGCCTCAGACATAGGAAACCTGTGAGTTGTGTGATGGCCTAAAGAAAGCCTTTGGCCCAACTGTCATTAAAGTCGTCATCATTGATAAGATCAAGCAGATGTCACGCTGGGTCGAACATTATGAGCTTTATTCCCATGAAACAGACATTTCAGAAGATGTACTGGATCAACTTCCAACTCTAAGTATACTGGCACAGCTAGACAGAGACTACAGCTGAAGAACTTAGCAAGGCCATAGACTCTCTAGCAAGTGGAAAAGCACCAGGGAAGGATGACATGCCAGGTGAGATTCTCAAATAGGAGAAGGCTAGCTTGCTACCCCATCTTCATTAATGCTTAGTGTGCTGCTGGAAGGATGGTTATGTACTCCAGGACATGTGATGCAAGCATCATCACTCTCTACAAGAACAAGGGAGATGAGGGTGACTGTAACAGCTATAGGGGCATTTCTCTCCTCAGTATCACAGGCAAGGCTTTTTCCAGTCATCCTGAAATGCTTGCAACAACTTGCTGACCATGTCTATCCAGAATCACAGTGTGGATTCAGAGCAGGGATATCAACAGTGAACATGTTATTCTCCTTACACCAACTGCAAGACAAATGCAGAATAAAGTAAGCCACTGTAATTAGCATTTGTTGACCTGACAAAAGCCTTTGACATTGTTAGCAGAACAGGTTTGTTCAAGATCCTGGTAAAAATTGGATTTCCCCCCCCCACACACACACACACTACTCAGGATGATCTGTTCTTTCCGTGAAAGCATGCAGGCCCCAGTTCAATGTGATGTTTCAACTTCTGACAGGTTTGAGATAAACAGTGGAGTGAAGCAGGATTGTGTTCAGGCACCCACACTCTTTGGGATCTTTTTTATGCTGCTCAGCTGTGTTTTTGATAGCTTGAAGGAAGACATATACCTTCACACAAGATCAGATGCCAAACTAAATGTGCATATTGGAAAGGCTGCTACCACTTTCATTAAGCTCTTCAGATGTGTCTGGAACAATACAAAACTTAAAATCAAAACTAAGCTGCTTGTGTACAAAGCTGCATCTTCAGTGTCCTAATGTGTAGCAGTGAGACATGATCAACATATGCATATCAAGAAAAGAAGCTGAACAGCTTCCACCCAGCCTGTCAGTGGTGCATCCTTGACATCAAGTGGCAAGACAGAACAACCAACACAGAGGTCATTGCCAAAACAACCTGCCAACCATCAGTGCACTACTTAAACAGCGGTGCGTAAACTGGCTTACCCATCTCCACAGGATGGAAGATAGGTGCATCCTGAAAGACCTCCTATATGGGCAAATTGCAGGTGGAAAGAGAAGAGTAGGGCACCCAAAACTGTACTTCAAAGATGTCTGCAAGCAGGACATGAAGGCTTTTGGAATCAACCCAAATCTTTGAGAGGGCATAGCAGGAAACAGGACAAAGTGGGCAATTATGGAGTACAACATCACGATGAGAAATGATTACTCAAATTACAGTAAATGTGACTGAAGCAGCCAGCCTGTCAGTACAGTAGCCCCTAATGCTATGTATACCTATGACTACTGTGGCAGTACCTGCAAGTCTGACATCAGTCTATACAGACACAAGAGAAAATGCACCACCCATTAGTAGGATAGCTGCAAGATCCGCTGTCACTCACTGATGAACAGATGCTATCTAGCCCTAGAGGCACCTAAACCCAAACCCTGCTTGACGTGAAAGTTCTGTAGATACCTACATTTCTGCTTGTGCATATGCCCATGACTGCAGCTTCGTGTCCAGCTCCTGCATAAATCCAAGTGGGATTCAGAAACTAGGCAGGGCCCTTAAGCAGAAAGGAATGTAAGCTTTATGGGGCCAGAAGAGTGATTTTTAAGAGGGAAATCTCTACAGCCTATATCAATGAGCACACTAGCCTTGGAGGCAGGGACCTGAATTCCAATTTTTGTTTCCAAAACTGTTTCTGTTTTCATCCAGGGTCTGTTTTAATATAAAATATATAAGCCAACCTTGGAGCAAAGACTAGAATTCAGGACCCCTCACCACCCTGCCTTCTACCATAGTTCCCTCATCAGTAGGCTACAGAGTCATCTTTCTTCTTGTTTACTCTCTCACCTCCTCTTCCCACGGCCTTTAAAACATGGTAGCAAGTCCTGGTCAATCCTTTCAAAGAATATATGTAGTCACATACCTTTCAGGGAAAGGATTTTAGGCTTGATATCCTAATAAGTGTATGAAAGCTTGTGCTTATAGTCCAGTCTTCTATGCTGAAGTTCCAGAGAGAACCACAGCCCTGTGTTCAGCATTTCTAAATGTCTACCTTTAGGCAGATTCCTGTTTCGTATGCAGGCTTTGTTGATCAACCTTTTGAGGCACCTAACTCTCACCATGCCCTGTACAGGGAAGATAGGGGCCTCACTCTAGGCTTAGGATGAGGTTTGGGGCCAGGCATCTATAAATCAAGCATTGATTTATGTATAGGCACTGAGGTGATCTTTCTAGATATAGCTCTTAAGATTATCACTGAAAAGAGAGATTAATGGAGCTCATTGATACCAATAAGAACTATGGATATGTGGCACTAGTGAAAATCAGGCCTGAGGAATTGAGCAGATTAATTTTGTTGCCCAAATGGGAAGAAGAAATGAGTGACGTTTTTAAAATATTTAGCAAGAGGTTTATTACTGCTAAATAAAGCACTATGTGAATTCGGCCAGTAACTACCCTCCTGGCTTACAATTTTCTCTGCTGTTCTAATGTTAGTTTTCTTGTGAGCAGAGCCTTCCGGGAAAAATTATAGACTTGATGACTGTAAGTCAGTTGTTAATATGCTCCTCCAGCTGTTCCTCTGTCCCCACTATTTCTCTGTGCTTCCTCAGATCACTTCTATGCTTCAACATTGATTTTGCTTTTACTCAAAGAAAGCCGGGAGGGAGTATCAAGTCAGCATAAGGTTGCATCAAGAAATGTATAAAGGGTTTCAGGCACAGTGGAAACCTGAGAAAGCACTAAAGATGTAGGGTTCTGTTGCACACACTATATGGCTCCAGGCTTTAAAAAAGTCTGAATCTTTATGGAGACCAAATGGGAAGTCTGTATGCTAGTGTGAGCATTGTCTGACATGTACACTGAAAGAAAGGATGCAGTGAAGTATTGTAATCTGTACCCTGGCTGGTTCCTGAATCATTCAGCTATATAATTACGTGACCTTTCATCTGCAGCTGACCTTCAGAGTGTAGCAGCATAGACTTCAGAACTGTATACTGAATTACACCAGGCTAAAGATTAATTAATGCCATGGCAGTCTGTCTTCTGAAAATGAATATCAGTGGGAGGGTTTTATTATTATTATTTCTACTCCAGGGCATTTGATGTGGAACTTCTTTACATTGCTCAGCGCTTGAAAATACCTATAGCAGAAGTTGCTGTCAACTGGACTGAAATTGAAGGCAAGTACATTTTTGACACTCTAGGTGTTGATGGGTGTGTAATCCAGAAAGGAATACCTGGGTATCATTCTTCTGTAAATCAAATACTTCACCCAGACTGAAGGGCAGAACCTTTTTCACTGAACTTTCTTCTTACATCTACACTGTTGCCTATGAAAGCTTATGCCTCTCTCAACCAGTTAGTCTCTTAAATTCTACCCTGCAACCATCCAGTTGTGAAGGAAGGCATGTAAAGCTGGCCAACTTCCCAGTAGGCCCCACCTCCAACCTTCTTTCCTTGCGATGGCTCCAAAGCTCTTGCTGTACCTCAGGCATCCCATTACACTTGGCTTCAGGTTTCTTATAATGCCTTTTTTTTTTTTTTTTGTGGGGAGGGAGCACTCTGTTATAAGCATTGGCTCCAGATTTTCCGTTCACCATGGAAAAACGCAGTAAACCTGGATTTTCTAATTTTAAGGAGAAGAACCTGAATTTTCTCCTTTAAAGGAGAAAAACGTGGAAAATGGTGTGTTTCCCCTTGCAGGCTGGCAGTTTTCCAGCCTGCAAGAGGCTGGAGGGAATGGAAAGAGGGCGGTCAGGCAGGGGTACCATATGCATGTGCATACATGCAAATGGCCCACAAGTAAATCTGGGGGTGAGGAGGGGTGGAATTGAGGCCCCAAGAGGGAGGGAGGAAGGGAGGCAGGGCTGGGGCTGCTGCCCAGCCAGGGTGGTCCATGGGGCTTGCGACCTGAGGTCATATGTGGCCGCAGGGCCTGGACAAGGAGTGGGATGGGGTTGGGGGTGGCAGCGATGAGGGAGAGGTTGTCTCCCTGCCACTGCATAGACTCCCGGGAGAGGCATGATGGACATGTGCCCCCTAGTTTTGTGCTCAGGCAAGGATGGGGCCAGGGTGCCGCCTGCAGGCTCAGGCTCCCTGCCCTGCTGTCCTCCCCCTGGGGTCTCTGCAGCCCAGTGGGTGGGACCCAGCACAGAAGGGCAGAGTGGAGCAGGGAAGTTCAGTGCTGCCGCCGCAAACCCCACAGCACCACACTGCCCGCCCAACGGCAGCGGGCATGGCAGCATGGAGTTTTGCCCCCTAGTGCTGCCAGGCAGGTAGGGGGCCACCTCACTATGGCAGTGCGGAGTTCCCAGTGGTGCCACAAGCCTCCCCGCCTGGCCCTCCTCTGCGCTGTGCTGGGTCTTGCCCACCAGGCTGTAGAAGCCCTGGGAGAGGGCAGCAGGGCAGAGAGCGTGAACCCGTAGTGGGCAGCCTGCACCTGCCCTTCCACGGGCTCTGCTCTGATTGTTCCACCTGTGGGGGAGAGGGAGCCAGGCTCCATGCTTTGCTCTGCCACAGCAGCTGCTGCCTTCCACGGGCAGCAGCTGGGGCTTGGGGGCTGCTGCTGGGGGGACAGGGGGCTGCAGACCCAGGTTCCTGGCCCGTAGCCCTGGTGGCTGGGGACCCCCTCCAGCGCTGCTGGGGGGGCTGTGGGTGTTGAGTGAAGGGCACCAGCAGGGCCGGGGAGCTATAGGTGGGGAGTGAGGGACACCAGCATGGTTGGGAGGTTGTGACTTGGGAGTAAGGGTCCTGGACCTGAATCCTGGTGAGTGAAGAGGGCAGGGGGAGCTCTGATTTTCCACGATAAACCCAAAATCAAATGCCGAATTTTATATGCATTTAGAATTTATTTTATTATAGTGATTGAGACAATGGTAGGCTTCCAAAATTGCTTTAAAATTGTAAATATATCAATAAAACATTGTGTTCAACAAAACCTGTATCTATAATGGCGTTTCATTTTAATTGAAGATTTTGGGTTTTTTATCAAAGGAAACCAGAATCACTGCTTCTGAGACACTAAGCTCATTTTACCTAGCATGACTTCCATCCCTACTGAGGAAGCTTTAGTTAAACTTGGAATTTAACATACTTAGACACTAATGGGTTTGTAATAGTGCTCCTAAAACAGAGATATTAAGCCACGTAAGTCTGAAATCAGGCAGCAGGCAGGCTAGAGTGGCACCTTAGAGATTAATTAATTCAGACAGGCATGTGTTTTCATGGGTGACAGCCTACTTTGCCAGCTGCTATGAATGGCTGTCACCTACAAAACCTTATACCACTCCAAACAAGTTAGTCTCTAAAGTTCTTGAGAAAGATATGCACGCACTGTCTTTCCTGAGGTACTTGGACACATTCTTACAATTACTGTTGATCAGTTTTCAGGTGTATTTGCTGGAAAAAAGTTTGATCTCTGAGTCAACAGTGAGATTGCATACATACTTTACTATACCTTCGATTGAGTTACTCTGCTATTTCTGACCTAAAATTGTGCCCTGCTCTTGCTATAATTGCAAATATAAATTAAATATAATGAAGCACTAATTTTTCCACTAAAGTTTTTTTATTGAAACTAAGATCTAAATCATACTGAATAAGCTGAGAATGGTCACAACTATTTCAATGCTATGTTGTCAGTGCTAACTTTTATGCTTTTTACTATTATTATTGTGTCTCTGATTTTTCTCTTTCATTTATCATAGGTTCTAAGCTGGTTCCCTTTTGGAGCTGGCTGCAGATGGGCAGGGATCTTCTTTTTATACGACTACGATATTTGACTGGTGCCTGGCAGCTTGAAACAAGGAAATATAATTAAGTTATATACATTCTCCAAATGCATTATAATGCGTAATGGAACGTGAAAGTGGTTTCAATGAAGTGAAATGTTGAGGAAAGCTGAGGTAACTCTTCATTGCTCTTATGTACTGCATTTTTATAATATTTTATAACATTGCCAACACTAGCAAGTTTCTGAGCTGTTCTGAAAGAAAGGACGTCTTCAAAAAGAAGAGTTTTTGCATCTTGGCATCAGTTGCCTTTTATTAGCAGCTTTAAATTTCTTATGTTAACTCACCCAAATAAAGAGACAATCATCTCATTGTACATGTAGAATTCCTATTACTGCAATGGAATTGCACACACATTGAAAGGACCATATCCTATGAAGTGCAATGTACTATCATGTCTGTTTTGGATGACCAAAGCCAAATATTTCTGTTGTAGCTGAAAATACATAGATGAGTGCCAACTGGGAACAGATAAGAATGATATTATATGTATTTAGTTTAATCATGGTTGCTACTATAAAAGTAATGTGCTTAAAGCAGTTTCAAAAACTATTGGCAACCTTCTGACATTCCAGTTGTTCTTGTCTGCAATATAAATAGTTTGTCCGAGCTCTTAGTTCATATTGTCTCCACTGACTGTAGAAGTCCCAAAAGAAAGCATGATTCATTTTAAAATGTTGTCTCATTCATTTGATTTGTCCTTTCAGACAGATACTGTGAGTACTGAAACTTTCACCTGTGGTAGCAAGGATAGGGAAAAGTAGTTTTGGGTGTAAAAGAATGATATCTAGGGTTAGAGAGGACTGTACATTGTGTGGTCACCTTTTTGTTATGAATTTCCAACTAGGTTTATAAAGACCTTTTAGAGGTAGGTTTTCTACTGATAAAATGCCTTAACCTCTCTTGGAACATAACTTTAAAGTGGAGCTGCCAAACACATTCATTTGAAAATTGTAGTAATTTCTCTACTTTGGAAAAATCTATTGAGCATAAACTTGTTTAAAGCAAAGAAAATGGGAGTACATAATTATACCCACAACTATTTTTAAGCTATACTCTGTCTTTTCTCCCTTTATAAAGTGTTATACTATTTGGTGGTTCTGTTTCTGTTAGAGTTACCTCAGTTTTCTGTACGGTGAAGCAGAAATTAAATGAATTCTTAATAAATGCATTCAGTTTTACTTTGGAGTCTTCATGTTCTTTGGTATTCTGTGCATCTCTGGCACTTCTGGAAAAACATGATGTAACTGGTTGTTGCAGTAATTGGAATACAGAAGTAGCTGCTTGGTTCTGGTAAGTGACTGTTGTAGGTAGCACTGGTATCATTGCCTACCTGTTACTAAGTCGTGAAAGGATGCAGCTGAACCGTGTGCATGCCATTCCCCCAGAGCAGGTGAGCATTTCCTGATTTATAGCTAAAGGCTGAGTGCTAGAAGTGGGAGCAGGAAGTCTGCATCTCATGTTTCCAGTGATCTGCAGGCAGCATAGAGAAGGACAATATCTGATTGCTAATACCATATTTGCTCAAATACAAGATGAGGGGTTTTTTTCTCCCATCAGCATGGGGAGGAAAGCCCCTCATCTTACATTTGCATATAAGGAAACCTCATTAAAAACATTGTTTACCATTAAAGTGTTGCCAAAAGCAGCATGTGCTCAGTAATGGAAACCAACTATGAAGTTGATTAAATGCAACCAATACTGAGCATGACTGTAAAGCATGTGGCCCACATGTTGATGGCATCCTTTTTTGTGTGGCCTTTAAAAAGCAAACAAAAAAAAACCCAGGCAGGTGTTCCCCCAGGAGAGAACAAGCACCGGGCCTGGAAGTACTTGCAATACTAGACTGACACCCAGAGAGGCCAGAGCAAGCTCCAACACCCTTCCCTGATGTCAAAAATGCTGATGGGAACCTTTTTGGTCCTTAAAAAAATGCGTCGGTGTTCCCTACGCTGGGTCTAGAGGTACTGCAATACCAGGCCAGCACCAGGAGGGCCAGAACCAGCCCTGACATCTTCCCCTTCATGCCAAAAATGATCTTAGCCAAAAGGCAGAGATACTGATGGGAACCTAATTTTTTTGTATTCAAGGGCAAATTAGCCAAATCAGTTCCAAATTGTCTCGACTGGATAAAACTCAATCATTCAAACACCGTATGTGGCACTACAATCAGCAAGTATCCTCCACCCCAGACTTTTCAGCCTGAGGCTTCATATACTCCCAAATCTATTGGCAGGCATCATACATGCAGGCTGAAGCCTGGATGATTTGGGGTTTGGATGCCCCCAAGTCTCACTTACCCTTAGCCAATAGCCACAGGAGCAAGCTAAGATAGGTTAGTACAGCCTTTTTTTTTTTTTTAATTAAAATCTCTCTCTTCCCACATATATTTAGGTATATATGCATGCTCTATCATAGACTTTCATTGCACCTTTTCTTTTCCAAACCACCTTAATAAAACCACACACCCATTACAGTAACTGTACCCGTTCCCATGCATGCAGCCTATCTGAATAAAATACATGGTGTGTAGTGCCCATTAAGTATACTGCCCATTAAACGCAGTCCCCCACATTGCTGACTCTTTTTAATGTCATGGTGAGCTACTACATTGAATATATTTTTATTTCCTCTTCACTCCCACAGTGAGCTGTGCCTTTCTTTCCCATTTCCAGTGATTCCTGTTTCTTCACCAGCCTTAAATGTCTAGTAGATATCACCAAACGGGACCCCAAGCAATTTACCCAGTATTGCTCTGTCCCCTCTCTCAGCTTTTTACATATGTTTAGTGTAATTCCACCCTCCATGAGGTGAAGCCAGGTGAGGGTGCTGTGCACTTTACCTGCATATACATTTTTGGAGGATCCCATGGCTCATGACAAAAGCGCCTGGTTTTAATCTAATTATTAGGGGGTCATCTTATAATCAGGGTGATCTTGTACTCAAGCAAATATGGTATTAATATCAATATTTAGAGGATAAAAACCAGGCTGAGGGAAGGAAAGAAATAGGTTAGGACTGGAGGGAAAGGAGGAAAAATTTAAGACCTATCAGGGAAAGGAAGAGTCTTGAACTGGAAGCCAGATGGGGGCTTGCGACAGAAGCAGAGACACTGAAGGCACTGAGGTTGCATGAGGTGCTGGGGAGAATGGAGGAGACTTGAACTGTCTGACAACGGAGGGGTGGGGGGGACCAAAAGCAGGAGAAAGGAGAAGATAGCTAAGATTGTATAAGGAGCTTAGGGAAGAAGACATTTCAGAAATGGAGCAGTGGGGGAGTGGAGAGATTGGGACTGTGAAAAGCAGCCAAAGATAAGGAAAAGATGGAGCTTGGGCAGGAACATTTTGAAGGGGAATGGTGTAGAAGAAGTCAAGCTTGGGGGAAAAGGCAGACTTGAAGTCAGTGGTTTTCAATTGTTTTAGAGTCCCCATGGTGCCATGACGCCCTGGTTGAGAATCAGTGGTCTAAGTCAACTAAGTCTAAGTCAATCTAGTCTCTTTTTATGACCAGGTTACGAAACGCCTGGACACAGGAGGAGGGGTGGATGTCGTATACTTAGACTTCAGGAAGGCCTTCGATACGGTATCCCACCCCATACTGGTGAACAAGTTAAGAGGCTGTGACTTGGATGACTACACAGTGCGGTGGGTGGCAAATTGGCTAGAGGGTCGCACCCAGAGAGTCGTGGTGGATGGGTCGGTTTCGACCTGGAAGGGTGTGGGCAGTGGAGTCCCGCAGGGCTCGGTCCTTGGACTGATGCTCTTTAATGTCTTCATCAGCGACTTGGACGAGGGAGTGAAGTGTACTCTGTCCAAGTTTGCGGATGACACAAAGCTATGTGGAGAAGTGGACACGCCGGAGGGCAGGGAACAGCTGCAAGCAGACCTGGACAGGTTGGACAAGTGGGCAGAAAACAACAGAATGCAGTTCAACAAGGAGAAATGCAAAGTGCTGCACCTAGGGAGGAAAAATGTCCAGCACACCTATAGCCTAGGGAATGACCTGCGGGGTGGCACGGAAGTGGAAAGAGATCTTGGAGTCCTAGTGGACTCCAAGATGAACATGGTGACGAACATGGTGGCTTTGGCAGTGTGACGAAGCCATCAGAAAAGCCAATGGCACTTTATCGTGCATCAGCAGATGCATGACGAATAGGTCCAAGGAGGTGATACTTCCCCTCTATCGGGTGCTGGTCAGACCGCAGTTGGAGTACTGCGTGCAATTCTGGGCACCGCACTTCAAGAGGGATGCGGATAACCTGGAGAGGGTCCAGAGAAGGGCCACTCGTATCGTTAAGGGCTTGCAGACCAAGCCTACGAGGAGAGACTAGAGAAACTGGACCTTTTCAGCCTCTGCAAGAGAAGGTTGAGAGGCGACCTTGTGGCTGCCTATAAGTTCATCACAGGGGCACAGAAGGGAATTGGTGAGTTTTTATTCACCAAGGTGCCCCGGGGGTTACAAGAAATAATGGCCACAAGCTAGCAGAGAGCAGATTTAGATTGGACATTAGGAAGAACTTCTTCACAGTTCGAGTGGCCAAGGACTGGAACGGGCTCCCAAGGGAGCTCTTTCCTGCCTATACAGGGGGTCGGACTCGATGATCTATTGAGGTCCCTTCCGACCCTAACATCTATGAATCTATGACTCTATGAACTAGACACATTCCTCTAGCGCCTGGAATGGGTCCAAAGATTCTGAAATCTCAATACTGCTCTGCTTGCAACAGGTTTCTTTGAAACCCCTGGCAAAGTGTTTCTCATCTCCCTCTAGTGCTAGTACACACAGCAGATGAAAACCAGATGCTGTTATCAGTTCCTCCATTGAAGTGGCAGAGGTCCATAAAGTGCATCTGAAAGTTAAAGCCTGCTGATAGTGAGCCATGTGGGTGTCATTCTCATGCCAATCACTGGGGTTTTTTAGGTTTACCTTTTTAAAAACTGATGAAATCTTGCCCCAAAACCTAAATGGTCTGACCAGTGTTCAAGTTACAAAGTCATTCACTCAAAAGTTAAAAAAAAACAAGAACTGAGGTTGCCTCTTCAACCTTAATTTGGCATTTTTATGTGCATCTGTTACAATTATCTTTATATGATTGTGTGCACTGTTTTCCACAAGATTGCTGTTTGTTCACTGCATAGGTTTGATCTAGGGGTCAGTCAGAGTTGTATAACTGAAACTTTTGGTCTCTTAGACCTCTGCCTCTTGTTGCAGATGTTGCAAAGTGTAGCATGAACAGAATTCTTTCTTCTTTTGAAAGAAGAAAGATTATGGCTTCATGATTTAAAGCAATCAAATGATGCCCTGGGGAACCAGTCCGCCACAGTTCCAACATGACGCTGGGCAAGTCACTCACCCAAAATTTTTCAGATGTGGTGGCTGTGTTCCTCAGTTTATGCATGCCCAGCTTGAGATGCTGGAGTCTGGTTACAAAATTTGTGTGTGTTCACATCTGCTTTCAGCATAGCAAATGCTGTGTAATGCCAAGTATTCTGTAAACTCAGGGCATAGGTATTTCAAATTGTGCATCTAAAGCTAGAGCAGACGTTTGATCAAAATCCCTCTGCATTTATTCTCCATCTGTCAACTGGGGATAATAACCTCTCATTTTGCATGATATTTGTGGAAATAATTTGTTGTTTATAAAAGTGTAGCTGATATGGTGACGAGTGGCATGGAGGAGTCCATCTGGAAATCCATAATTCTGTTGTGAGAACAGAGTTTGAATAGTGTGCAGTAAACAAGGCATGAGGCCACGCATTGTACAGATGGGGATAAAGCAGACTATTAAATAGCTGCTCACTACATTATCATCAACCATTTTATGCGTTCAGTAAGGCAGAGGTCTGGAAAGAAAAAGTATGTGATTATATAATTATATTGTAACCTAAAAACACAAATGGACCTAAGTACCAAGG